AGTACACCTCCTTGCAGGCTGACATCAGCTCCAAAAATGGACATCTTGAAATGGCCAGGGGTGGTGAGAGACCTAACTAGGTATATATTACAGACCACCAAATTCTACCTGGAGTTCACAATAGAATTTACTGAGGCTGCATGTGCCTGCGACATGGTCATCATGGGCAATTTCTAATTATCCAGACATCTCCTGGGAGGAACACTCAACTAGGTTGGATCAGTGATCCTTCTTGAGCTGTGTTGAGAAGCTCTTCCTGACTTGGGAGGTGCACAGGACAACCAGAGGTGATGCTCTGCTAGACTTGGTCCTGGCCAAAGGAGGTGGTGACTAACTTAAATATAGAGAGAAGTCTGGGCAACAGCAACCATGAAACCATCATGTTCGCTGTCCAATGTAAAGCAGACAAATTGGATAGCGGGATTGAAGTCTTGGACTTAAAATGCAAATTTCAACAAGCTTAGGTCAGTAGTAGGGCAAGTGTTGTAGGACCAGGGACCGAAGGCAAAAGGTGCGCACAAAGAGCGCTTGTTCCTTAAGGACACTATCTTTGAAGCACAAAGGAAATCCATTCCATTGCAGAGAAAAGGTAATGGAAGGGCTAGGAAACCCTCTTAGCTAAACAGGGAAATCACAATCCTCTTAAGAAAGAGGCTTATAAACAATGGAAACTCAGGGCAGACCCCAAGGAGAACTCCTCCACAATGGTCTGCATTTGCAGGGAACAGAAGATGAGCTAAAGCAGCAACCAAATGTAGATTAGCAACAGGAATCAAGGATAACAAGAACTCCTTTAGGTACATGGGGAACAGGAGGAAAACAAATGGGAGTGTGGGGCTGTTGCTCAACAACTCAAGAGAGCTGGTTACCAGCACCCAGGAGAGAGCTGAATGACAACTTTGCTTTGGTCTTTCACCAGACTAAGGGGAAAACCATGCCAGGTAGAGTAGAGGATGAGCATGGTAGGAATAATCGCCTTCTTACTATTGCTGTAGAATTGGTGTATGACCAATTAATTAAATTAAACATATACAAGTCAGCAGGACTGGAAGGTCTTTGCCTGGAAGTGCTGAAGGAGCTGCCCAAAGTCATTGCAGAACCCCTGGCGAATTTCTTCCACAACTCATGGCACTCCAGAGAAGCCCCTGAGGACTGTAAGAGGGCCAATGTTGTGCCCATCCACAAGAGAGGCAGGAGGGAAGACCCAGATAACTATAGGTGAATCAGCTTAACTTCCATCCTAGGGAAAATCCTAGAAAAGTTAATCAAGGAGTCAATCTGCAATAAACTTGCAGAAGGTAAGATTCTGAATGACAGCCAGCATAGCTTGTTGCAGGCAGGTCTTGCCTTACCAACCTCATCTTCTGTGACTAGGTAACTCACCACCTGGACACAAGAGAGCAGGCTGACCTTGTATATCTTGACTTCCAAAAGGCCTTTGATCTAGTATCCCATGATGTCCTCCTGAGAAAATTGGAGGATTGTGGGCTTAACTCCAAGACAGTCAGGTGGGTGAGAAACTGGCTGCAGGATAGGACCCAGAGAGTTGTAGTGAATGGATCTGTCATACTGGTGAGAAGTGAGCAGCCGTGTCCCATGGGAGTCAGTGCTCGGTCCAGTACTTTTCAATATAATTTATTAATGATTTGGATGTGGGGGTGAAGAGCTCACTGGCCAAGTTTGCAGACAACACCAAATTATGGAGAAGTGTGGTCACACCTGAAGATGGTCCACCTGT